TCCACCCCCGTCCGGCTCCCCCTCCGCGCCTTACCCGAACATAAATCGGGGAAACACAAAACCACAGGAGACGTACCTAAATAAAGATTTGATAACAACAATGTTTTTAGTTTTTCTGTCTTATCTACCTAGTCTGTGGTATTTATTTCCACGTTATTTGTTTTTAGTTTTTCTGTCTTATCTACTTAGTCTGTGGTATTTATTTCCACAGTATTTTGATCTCTTTAAACGCTGTTATATCACATTTTTAAACAGTTATTTTATCTCAGCTTACCTTCAACATCTTTCTGGATTCACATCTAGATCTTTGTTAATTTTCAGTTTGTTTTTTCTTGAACAACTTCTAACTTTTCCTTCCACCTTTTAGAATCCAAATAACACGCCTGCGTCGCTCATTGTGCCTCTTGGTTTTTTATGACTAAAACCTAAACCTGGTGGATCTCAGTAACAAACCACACCTCACCAAACTCAAGAAAAACCTGCTGCACCTTCACTGATCAGGTTTCACCACGGTGATTCATGACGACTGTGGATTTACAGAGAAATACATCCACATATACTGAAACCCACAGCAGCTGCATTAGTAGTGTCGCCACCACATACTGTGGCTCGGATACACACACACACACACACACACACACACACACACCACCTACAGTTATGAACGTGGTAGATACAGCAACGTTAGGAAGTGCTGTAGGTGTTTGTAATTTTCAGTTGTTGGAAGTCGACCAAAAAACAACCTCGTATAAATTGAGGTCTATATCAAAACTAGAGATGTGTCCAAGAACGCCCCCTAGACCTTGCGTAGTGCACTACATAGGGGGTACTCCATTTTGTAGTTGTGAGGAGATGGGGCGAGAGATAAAGGGAGAAAGTGAGTGAGAGAAACATGGTGAATGAACGGCGGTCACGTCATTCGTCAGTAAACAAATTTAACTCTGATCAAAGGACGGCAAAAACGGAAGGGTCAAAAAATGTGAAACGTGAAGAACGGTAGAAGAAGGAAATGAAGAAGGAAGGAAAGGGAGGAGACGGTACAAAAAAAAAAAGAGAGAACAATTTAAAATATGAATAAAATGGAAACATATAGTGAATACACAGACGTCATTAATAATGTAGAGAATTCCCCAGCAGTAAAGGACGGCAGGAACAACATAAATGAAAACAGTCGGCGCAAAATGGAGGGTGAATGTGAGAAAGAGAAAAAAAACAAAGATGTGGTAACGACTACTAAAATGAAGACACCCTGAAGACAAACAGAGAGACAGAGAGACGGAGAGACGGAGTCGCTGCAGTGAGTTTGACTCTAATCCAGGCTGACAGTCACCGGCTACACACACTCACACACTGCGCATGCGTCTTTCTGTATGCACACACACACACACATACACACACACAGACACAGGAAGTTGGAGCTGCAGGCCCAGTCACCACGACTGGTTGGTTGCCATGACAAACAGAGTCAGCTGGGAATTCACCCAAAGAGATGACAAAGAAAAGGAGAACGGGAAGAGTAGGAGATGTAAGAGGAGGAAGTGGAGGACGGAGCCAGAGACTTGTCCAGAGACGTAGGACAGGAGTCGGCTGAGTTCTCATCTCCTACTGTTTGACCAAGTTGCCCCAAGTCTTACAAGTTGCCCCATGAAGGGCAACTTTGGGTGGGCGGTTGATGAGGGTTGCAAAACAACATTGTAAACTTTAAAAATTAAAAATAATAAGAATAAAAAACAGTTTAAGGTTCAGTCAAAATGTGTTTAATGATAGAGAAGCAGTTCATCTGATAATGAATTTATCTGCCCTAGAAATGATCTTAATTGCCTCCACTCCAGCACTACCAAGCTCAGTCGTGCTGTTGGGCAACCTCTTGCCTCCACCTGTGAATGTTTGTACACCTTTCACTCCTCTGATCTGCATTTTAGCTGGAGGGAAAAACACCGAGGCCGTCTACTGCCGCCTGGTTCGACAAGTTTGTGACATTTAGCTGAAAGTTGCACTGAAGATTGTACGCCCTGAAGTCACAAACCTGCACAATATGTGTACAGTTGTACACGAATGTTGTCCTTCTCGATGGAGACTCAGCTGAGGCAGAGTCCAAAATAATTACTGTGACAGTGAGTTAAAGGACACAAACGTCATAAGATACAGTAAAGAAAAAATGTTTTGAGTTTGAATATATTTGTAGTTTAATCAAAGAAAAAAAAATTGAATTTTTCTCAAGCCCACCGTGTTTAAATCAAAGTACAAGTTAATAAAAAATTAAATCATAGTTTAGAATTTAAAGTCCAATTCCAAGTCAGTGTAAAAGAGTCACTAAACGGACGTGGACTTTTTGTCATCCTCACTTCAAATCTTGAATTTAAATTCTTGAATTTAAATATTCTCAGAATTTCACTGCAGCTGCACGTTGGTTTTTCTATGAAGAAATGGCAAATGAGAGACATGTGGGGGGGAAACGGACGTGGACTTTTTGTCATCCTCACTTCAAAAGAGTTCAACATGGTCTTGAATTTAAATATTCTCAGAATTTCACTGCAGCTGCACGTTGGTTTTTCTATGAAGAAATGGCAAATGAGAGACATGTGGGGGGGAGTCCGGGGGAGGGGGTGGGGGAAGGAGAGTGGGGGAGAGGGGGAGGGAGGGAGAAACAAAGAGTGAGCAACAGAGTTGGTTTCAAAGCAGTTCTCCGTCGTGTGATTGAGAGCTGAAGCAGCTGCACATGTCTGAGTCACTGACTCACGGCAGTGTGTTTGGAGCCACACACACACACACTGAGAGAGAGAGAGAGAGAAAGAGAGAGAGAGAGAGAGGCTAACATACCAGAGGTGCCCCACCCCTTACATTCCACTTCATTATCCTCCTCCTCCTCCTCCCTTTCCTTCTCCTCCACCTCTTCTCTGCACTTCTTCTTCTTCTTCTTCTTCTCTCGTACTTTTCTGCATCTTTGCTTAATTTTTGTCCTCCTTCCCTTAGGCCCTCAGCACACATCACACCTCCTCCCCGAATTTCCACCTCCTGACTGACTGACTGACTGACTGACTGACTGACTGACCGACTGACGGGACCAACCTACAGCCTCTGAGTCGTCTCTTGATACCATCACATATTGGGAATGAAAAAAAGTAAGACAAAAAGAAAGACAAAAAAAAAAAGTCAAGTAGACAACACACCACAGCGGAGGAGGTGCTGCTCTATCTTCAAGGTCACCGTGACCGAACCTGCCGCTGTCAGCGGTAAACGGTCTGGAAAAGTAGCGTCTTAAAAAAATTACCTTTCATTAGTCGAGAGCAACAAGTCAACAACGGCTGGAAGGAAAGTAAGTCGCGTGTTTTTGAAGGTCAAAACGATAACGAGCTCCAAATGTGTCGGTCGTTAGGATGACAATTATTTAATGGACGGAGGAGGAGGAGGAGGAGGAGTAGGAGGAGGAGGAGGAGGAGAAGGAGTCGAAACGTTGACGCAAAACTAGCAACATCCATGAACGAATTAAGGCGTCGAGCCCTGAACATCGTGAGGGCTGCAGTCTTTCACGCTTCTCCAAATCATCATCATCATCATAGCAGGTCTCACATCTACTTTCTTCACATCACCCCCCCCAACACTTGTGTCCCTCCACTCCCCCTGGAGCCTCTTCCTCACCCCTTCCGTTCACTTCTCCACACATCAGGGGCTCGTTCATTTGTTGAGACTCTTCTTCGACACCACGTGAGGCGTTGAAGTCCCTGATCCTGTTTAGGGGTAAACTGGGAATAACAGACATCACGGAACTGACCAACAAACCAGGCAACAGACGGCATCTGTGAGAACCAATAACCAAACATATTTGACAGGGACCAATCAAAAAAAACTAAAGGTTTTGAGGTTTCCCTTCTCTGGATTTTCAACACTTTAACACTTTTTTTTTATTATTCGCCTCCATGTGTAGAACGGTAAAAACAGAACACACCCTACATGTGTTTTAAATTTAGGCTCAACACAGGTGTATGAATGGAACAATGTGTGTAACCACACATCATACATGGTGTGTGTGTGTGTGTG